CGCGCGGGTCGCGGAGCCAGGGCTTCTTTCTTGCTCTGTGTATCCCTGTTTGGATCCCAAGTAAGCACAGGCTTTCTCGAAATTGTCACTGTGGTACCTTGCTGAAAATTCTCAACAAAATGAAGTCTGAGAGGGCGGGGGTAGAGGACTCCAAAATGGATGTTTGAGCAATTCATATCTCTGCTGAAAACTCCTTCGCTGAACACTACATTTTCAAACACAGCCTATCGGCCATAGATAGTATCAACTAGAAAGGCAGTGTTTAGTTTCTAGAATTTTTGAGTCTGGAGCGTTTTCTGCTGGAAGTTACTAGATCTTAAACTGATTTAAGTCGAGAAGGTTTAATTTGAACTCTGTATGCAGGAATGAACACAGTGCTTTTTTTAAGTGACCTTTCAAATGGTTGAATTTTACTTTTTGCAGACACTACAAATTTGTACTAATTTTTTCTAAGCGTGGTAAATGAAACGTCCGTTTAGCAACCGTTGAAATTTGCAGTTATTTATATAGTACTTAAGTTTTTGAAATTGAACACGAATATCAGTGTTAGAAACAAGTACAGGTGAAGAATTTTATCTTCATGTTCGTTAATGCATATCATACAGTAGAATTTGGTTGGCAAAACTTTTTTCATTGTATTAAATGACTGCTAGTTCTATAGGATGTGGTGGGTTTCTTTTGGAAGTGTTTCTAGTGTCTGGGGAATGGGGAGGAACTGGCAGTGTTAGATGATGGTGTAAGACAAAATTAGTAACACATTGTGGAGTATTTTTTACGAATTTTATATTTGTTTGGATCGTTGCTGTTGCTTTAGTGTAACCTGTACATGTGTGCATTTGTTAAAATAGTTGAAACGCTTCTCAGTCTAATTTTTTGTGGATTATAAGAATTAATTTGTGGTGGTGGGTTTATTTATTTATTTTTTGGTACTGAAGATTGAATTCAGGGGGCCCTTTTACCACCAAGCAACATACACACACGCACACACACACATATATATTATATATATATAAAAATTTTGAGATGGGGCCTTGTTAAATTTCTGAGGTTGACCTCGAACTTGGAATCCTCCTGCCTCAGCTTCTCTTTTGGAGGTATTGGCCACCATGTTGGCCTGAGTTGAATGGTCACTGTAAAAAGAAAAGTTTGATATTTGGTATAGTGAATATGTAGGCATTACAAGTTTAAGCTAATGCATTGTTAAGTTATATTTGGAATTTTAGTGCTTCAGATTATGCTATGGGGGATGTGAATAGATAGTCTTAATGTCTTAATTGTGCTTTTTTAAGTAGATTAAAGCATAAAAGCATAAAATCATGTTTGTGAGAAGCATTGTTATTTAAACAAATCTGTGGATTGGCAAACCAGTTTTTTAAAAGTATATTCCTCCAGACCCCAGAGTGTCAAAACACATTAACTGTTTATAAACCACTGCACAAGTAAAATTGAAAATTAGACTTCTTCTACTTTTTAAGTATTTCAAATAGGCCAAAATCTTTTTCCTAATTTGCCAGATTTACATATCACCTTATAGATGGGGGAAGGGAGAAGTGAAGAATGAAGAAGGAAGTTATGGGTGAAAATGTTATGTGTTAGTCTCAAGCCTAGGATTAGAATACTGTCTCCAGTTGTTTCCATGTCTCTTTAGATCTTCTCTGAATTATCACATAAGCACTGACAACACATTTACCACCCCATCTTAAATAGAATCATTCTGAGATAACTGAGATTTATCAGACACCTCATAATTTGGCAATCACAATAAAATGAAAATTGGTTTTTTTTCAAAATAGAATTTTGTACATTGAAAATTAGTTTTGCCGGCAAACCCTTAGGACATGTATGTTTGGCACATCTGCATAATATTTTTCACTTTGAGTAAAGTTGATAAGTCTGGCTTAGATGTTTGCCTTAGCAATAATAAAGATTTTTTCCAGTTCATGCCCCCCCCCCCCATTAAAAATGAACTTAGATGCAGGGGCATTTGTGCAGTCCTATAATCCCAGTGGCTTGGAAGGCTGAGGCAGGAAGATTGCAAGTTGAAAGCCCAGCCTCATTAATTTACCAAGTCTCTGAGCAATTTAGTGAGTCCCTGTCTCAAAATAAAAAGGGTTGGATATGGGGCTCAGTGGTTAAGCCCCCCCCTGGGTTTAATCCCTGGTACAAAAAAAAAAACAACAAAAAAAAACCGGACATAGATAATAACCTCATTTTAGTTACTTAAATTTCTGGGAATCATGAGAAATCAGAGAGTGTTTTTGTAGTTGTGTTTTTAAAAATTTGTGGAATAATTTTAGATTTACAGGAAAGTTGAAAATAGAGAACTGAAAATTACCTTGTACCCTTCACCCAGCTTCTCCTCATGTTAACATAATTGTGGTACATTTATCAAAATTAGGAAATTAACATTGGTATAGTAATAACTAAAGTAATTACAGGATTTATTTGGATTTTGTCAGGTTTTCCACGAATGTTCATTTTCAGCTCTATAGGATCTGTCTTGCAGTAACCACATTGCATATAGTGGAAATATACATATACAGTTCAACATTATGCCAGTTTAGCTTGATATTTCAAGATTTCAAAGGGCCTTGAAAGGCAATCAGCTGCACTAAAGATTTGCTTTAAAGAATATGAATTTGGAATTTGTTAAAAGTGTTCTTACCTATGTATAATGTCCCAAAGCATGGATTCCCAAAGATGGAAGCTGAGCTCTTTTATACTTTATTACTAAAAATGTCTGGAAATTAAAAAAGTACACCTATATGCAAGTATTAACTTGTGCAAACTACATTTGTGTGAACTTAATGGATTATTTATATGCCTATTTCATTTGTACTGTAGTGAAATAAACTGAACAGATAAATATTATGAGTCATTGTCTGATCTTTGGTTTAAGTTGTAAATTTAGTGTTCATTAGTTTAGCACATAAATGTTGGTGAACTAAAATAAATGAATAGTAGCTTATTTCAAGAAAAGGTTATTATTCCTTTTTGTAAGACCTACAGTATCACTGTAATTAATTTATTGAAGTCTGTTTGAGTTCTATTACTTTCCCTTTAAGGTTTCAACCTGCGTATTTGCTTAAGAGTGGTTCTTAGTTTGATTCCACTTTAGCTTCACACTTGTTCTTGTTTTCAATTGTGTGTGTGTAGTGTTGCTGGGGGTTGAACCCAGGGCCTTGTACATGCAAGGCAAGCACTGTACCAACTGAACTACCAGCCCTATTTCTGGCTTTTTATATAGCCATCTGTGGGGACTGAAAAGTTAATTATCCTTTCAAAATACTAAGCAATAAATGGTATGAATTTTCTTTTCCCTTTCCACAGGTATCTTCTAAGAAGTTTCATCCTTTTTTTTTTTCTTTTCTCTCAATCCCATCCCCCTCATTTTTATACACAATTGCATCCTAGTATGCCTTTGTAATGAATTTGTTATAGTAACATCACTGCTGGTACCAACCTTTGATGCCCTCCCTTCCGCCTAGGCTCCTGTAGTTTGGGGTCCTCTTCATTTTGGGCTTGTGTTTATATAGAGAGGGACACTTTCATGGCCAAATGATATTTTGTTAGTTGTCCAAAAAGAATACTAGAGTTACTAATAAAAACACTGGACTTTTCTTTAATTTGTAAGTTCATACAGGGGGTTATCTTATACCTAAACCAATATTAATTCTTGTCTTGGTTATGGGTGTTTGTTTTTAATACTGGGGTTTGAACCCAGTGGTGTTTTACCTCTGCGCTACATCCCTAACTCCATTTATCTATCTGTCTAGTGCTGGGGATCAAATCCAGGACTTGTGCAAGCTAGGCAAGTGCACTACCGCTAAGACACATCCCTAGCCCTATTTTTATTTTATTTTATTTAAAAAATATTTTTAATTGTAGATGGGCACAGTGCCTTTATTTTGTTTATTTAGTTTTGTGTGGTGCTGGGGATCTAACCCAGGGCCTCACACATGCTAGGCAAATTCTCTACCACTGAGCTAAACCCCAGCCTCTTAGCCCTATTTTTTAAAAATTTGAGAGGATCTAGCTGAATTGCTGAAGTTGCTCTTGAATTTCAATCCTCCTACCTCAGCCTCCAGAGTATCTGGAGTCACAGGTGTGTGCCACCATGTCCAGCAGAGTTGTGTTTTTATGTCTGTTTCCCTTTGATTCTCGAGCACTTCCAATAATTCAACACAACATATTATAATGTTTTTGGTGGCAGATGACTTTCTAATTTATCCCTTTCCTATTATTTATTTTACATTGTCTCTTAGTGAGATAAAATTTCGCTGATGAAGTGTATTTTGCAAAATGAGTGGACTTAGAAAACTTTAATTTGAAATATTTGGATTTTTTTTCGTTGTGGAATTATGGAAATAACAGGTTTTAAATGAACTTACAGCCCTTTTAGAAGGTTCTAATACCTCAAAGTTGATTTTATTGATCCATTTTTATCATTCTATTTCTGTCATTTTCTTTGCAATGGTTTAAGGTAAAATACCAGTAATTATTCATTCAATAAATTATATATTGACCTTAATTTGTGCCAGCAATTGTGGTAGCTATCTAATGGAGGCTTTTTCTAAATCTTTTCTTTTAATCTTAGTAATCACCAAAACTTGGGATTTTGACGTGCTCTAAAGTTTATAAAACTTAATATTTTCTTTTTGGTTCTCTTGACCTTTCCTGCAAGATAACATTTTGCCCATTGTGAGCATGTAAGTTTTAGTTGAAATCAAAGTTGGATTTGGTGATACCCCCCGCCCCCATTCTGTTTAAAAAATCTGTTTTACAGCAGATTTTAAAAACTACATATCTGCTGCATAAAATATTTGTTTTGTTTGCCTGAAATTTTTGCTTAAGCTATTTGTTGCTGCCTCCCATCTTTGGGCTTCACAGATTTTTAAAAATATATTCCTTTTACCTTGGGCTTATTCACAGAAGTTCATAATGCTTTCTCATTTTGTCTTGGAGATTTTGCTTTCATTTAGTGACCTGTTTTGCTAGGGAAAATGATACTACAGTAATTTATTTATTTTTGTTATTAATTAAAAATTTTTTTTTGTTGTCAGTGGACCTTTATTTTATGTATTTATTTACATATGGTGCTGAGAATTGAACCCAAGCCCCCACACATGCCAGGCAAGTGCTCTACCACTGAGCTACAATCCCAGCCCTACTGTTTATTTAGTTTCTGCAAAGGGGATAACTTGGGCATATTTACTCAGATTTGTTACTTGAGTGGTTGTATTTTCAAGGAATTTCTTGACTAGAAATTGGTGGTTGAATATCTTTGTCTCAAAAAATAAAACTGTAGGTGCCATAAATTTGACATTTTTTTAAAGAAAGGAAAGTGGTCAGAATGCCAGTATTGTAAAATTGATTTATGCATGAGCTAGTATATATATTTTTTAATTTTCTTTTTGTAGTTGTAGGTAGACACAATACCTTTATTTTGTTTGTTTTATATGGTTCCTGGGATTGAACCCAGTGTCTTACACATGCTAGGCAAGCACTCTACTACTGAGCCACAATCCTGGCCCTTCTTCCTTTTCTTCTTCTTCTTCTTCTTTTTTTTTTTTTTTTTTTAATATTTTTTAGTTGTAAATGGATCTTTCATTTTATTTATTTATTTATATGTGGTGCTGAACATCAAACCCAGGGTCTCCCACATGCCAGGCAAGTGCTCTTACTACTGAACCACTACTCCAGCCCAAGATAGTATATTCTTTTATTTAAAAAACTTGTAAATTGGGGCTGGGGATGTGGTTCAAGTGGTAGCCCGCTTGCCTAGCAAGTGTGAGGCCCTGGGTTCGATTCTTAGCACCACATAAAAAAATAAATAAAGATATTGTGTCTATCTAAAACTAAAAAATAAATATTAAAAAAACTTGTAAATTTAATTCAGGCTAGAAATAGTTAATAGTTGATTCTCCAGATAAATAATAATCTTAAGGTAAAGATTGGATTTTAGACTTACTTTTTAGTATATAGACTTTAAATATCCTTAGTTTACTTAAAATGCCAAAAGGCTGAAGTGAAACATGAAAGATGAAATAAAATTTTAATTTTGATACCAATTGAAGTTGAATGACATGTGACTTTAATATCTGGTGCTTCATTTTCAAATTTAAAATCAAGTTTAACTATATAGTTTAATAAATATGTATTTTAAAGACAGATTATTTTAGTTCAGGCTTGGAGATTTGTACTGGGTCCACAGTTTCTCTGCCTTTAGTCTCTTCTGCCTTTCTTTTAGTCTCCTTCCTTGGACCTTAGTTTATCTTTATAAAATACAGATGTGATTGCACTTGCTTATTAAGTGTTTATAGCTGTCATTCACTATCTGCAGGACAAAGTCCAAGCCATGTAGTAGGATCTACAGGCCATTTATAGACCTTGATAAAAATGTCATTTTGTTCTCCCATTATTTTTTGTCTATAAATAGGAGCCTTTTTGGATCTTGTTTTGAACTTCAAACTCAAAACTGCATATTATTCTTTTTCTATTTGTCTGTAATTATATTGTTTCTATACCTTTCTTAATGTCTCTGTTTCTGACAACAGTGAAATCTTACATATTTTAATACTTCAAATATATTGCATGTGAAATCTCTCCAATCTTTATGTTCCCACATAATATTTTCATCAGGTGGCTAGTATATGCCACTTTTCACATTGTATTAGTTTGTGTATGCCTGCTTGGATGGAGTGTGAACCATTTGAATATAGGTTGTATTGTTTACTCATTCATCCTTATTCATTTTGGCAGCTATATTCAGTGTTTGAATTGAGTCATTAAACTATGGTTCATCCTTTATATATAAATAACTACAGAAAATTAAGGAGCTTCCTTAATTTTAGATTTTAGATCTTTTGCTATATTATTTGCATTAAACTTTATGGAATTTTATGGAATTTCTAAGTTGGGAAAACAGTATTTGTTTTAACCTTTTTTAATGGTTACAGACCCCCTTTGGGAATATGATAAAACCCTAGATTATTTTCTCCCTCCCCAACTTTGAAAAAGTTGCTATGGTCTTTTTATAGGATTTAGAAATTCCCTTGAAGCCCGGTTATATATCCTAGGTTGACAGTGCTAGGCTAGATGTGCTTTTATGTTCTTATTATCTACTGACATATGGAGTTAGAGAAAATTATAGATAGGTTTGTAAATAAGTGGAATAGAGATGGCTTGATTTTGATGGTGAGTAAATCATATAGGTTCCTATTCCCAGTGGCTTTATCCCTGTTATTAGTAGAGTCCAAGTATGGCATAGTGTTTTAAGAACCTGAGTTTGGAGTTAGTTTTAGCCTAGTTTTAAATCCTGTCTTGGTCACTTGACAACAATGTGACTGTCCCTCGATTTTCTCATCTGTAAGATAGGGATGATAATAAATTCTATAAAATATAATTGTTTTAGCTGGTCAGGTGCAGTGGTGCACATCTGTAATCTCAGTGGCTTGGGAGGCTGAGGCCAGAGGATCGTGAGTTCAAAGCCAACCTCAGCAACTTAGTGAGGCCCCTAAACAATTTAGTGAGACTGTATTTCAAAATAAAAAAAAAAAAAGGATGGAGATGTGGCTTAGTGGTTAAGTGCCCCTGGGTTCAATCCCTGGTACCAAAAAAACCAAATGAGAGAGTCTTAAACCTTGTTACAGTATTTGGCATATAAAGAAAAGCTTAGATAATTTGCTTAAAAAAATCTACCATTTGACATTGGCATGCAGGATTTTTTTATTTTTTACTTTTTGACAGGGTCTTACCAAGTTGCTGAGGCTGTCCTTGAATTTGTAATCCCCCTGCATTTGCCTCTGAGGTCACTGGGATTACAGTGGGGCATCACTGTGCTGGGCCTGATATGGAGGGGTTTTTTTTTTGCTTTCTGCTTTTTCTGCTGGCATTGTTCCAATGTTGCCTATGTGACCATATGGGTGATCCCAGAGATTTCTAGCAGGTTACAGCATACAAAACATATATGCCTGGCATTCTACTAGAATCTTAGAAAAGTAAGTAAAACCAAACCAAGTCTAAATCCTCCAGTTTTTGGATTCTAGAAAAGCTTTTCAGATGGGGCTTCTTTACTCTGTAGTCACAGGGCAATAATAACCTTTCCTTACAGAGTTTTTATAAAGTTTCTTTTTTTTAGTAGTTCATGATAAAAGTGAAGAACTTGATGGGTGGGTATGCTTATGAAATTCCACTAATCATGAGTTTATTCTGAAGTACCTTAATATATATCATAAAAGAATAGCTTTAATTATTTGATTTAAGGGTTATAGCAGTAATATACAAATTTTATTTTTCTAACTCAGATAACTTAACACTGCACTGTTCACAATTATAGTACTCTGGATTTATTGACATTTTTAGTGGGTTGTATACTTTTTTATACTTTTTAGTGGGTTGTGCACTTTCTTAGCTCTTTAGTAGTTGTCATGTTTGATTTGAACTGTTTATAATCTATTCTAGCCACCTCCACTTAAAAAAAAACAAAAACACTATAACATTAGTGCTTATAGATGAGTAATTGGAAGAGCGTAGTCCCAGACTCATTTGCTGCACGATTTCAAGACCTGCCCAGGGCAACATAGCAAGACTCCATTTCCAAAACATTAAGAAAAAATTTGATCAGGTCATGATAAATAGAATGGGCTCTCTTCACAATAACTAAGAAAAATGTAAGGATTATTGTTGTAGTTTGTACAGTATTACTTCTGTATTTTAGTCCTATTATGTTATTAAGGGGATTTTCACTCTTAGATAGTAGGATTTATACTAGTTTAGAGTTTTTTTTTTTCTTTAAGAATTGGTTTAAACATACCACAAAATATATCACAACATTTTTGTTTTCTTCATCCAGACAGGTGATTTGGCTTCTGCCCAGTTAGGAGGAGCACCAAACCGATGGGAGGTTTTGTCAGCCACACCTACAACTATAAAAGATGAAGCTGGTAATCTAGTACAGATTCCAAGTGCTGCTACTTCGAGTGGGCAGTATGTCCTTCCCCTTCAAAATTTGCAGAATCAACAAATATTTTCAGTTGCACCAGGATCAGATTCATCAAATGGTACAGTGCCCAATGTTCAATATCAAGTAATACCACAGATTCAGTCAACAGATGGTCAGCAGGTTCAGATTGGTTTCACAGGCTCTTCAGATAATGGGGGTATAAATCAAGAAAGCAGTCAAATTCAGATCATTCCTGGCTCTAATCAAACCTTACTTGCCTCTGGAACACCTCCTGCTAATATCCAGAGTCTCATACCACAGACTGGTCAAGTCCAGGTTCAGGGAGTTGCAATTGGTGGTTCATCTTTTCCTGGCCAAACCCAAGTAGTTGCTAATGTGCCTCTTGGTCTGCCAGGAAATATTACCTTTGTACCAATCAATAGTGTCGATCTAGATTCTTTGGGACTCTCGGGCAGTTCTGAGACAATGACTGCAGGCATTAATGCCGATGGACATTTGATAAACACAGGACAAGCTATGGATAGTTCAGACAATTCAGAAAGGACTGGTGAGCGGGTTTCTCCTGATATTAATGAAACTAATACTGATACAGATTTATTTGTGCCAACATCCTCTTCATCACAGTTGCCTGTTACGATAGATAGTACAGGTATATTACAACAAAATACAAATAGCTTGACTACTTCTAGTGGGCAAGTTCATTCTTCAGATCTTCAGGGAAATTATATCCAGTCGCCTGTTTCCGAAGAGACACAGGCTCAGAATATTCAGGTTTCTACAGCACAGCCTGTTGTACAACATCTACAGCTTCAAGATTCTCAGCAGCCAACCAGTCAAGCCCAAATTGTGCAAGGTATTACACCACAGACAATCCATGGTGTGCAAGCCAGTGGTCAAAATATATCACAACAGGCTTTGCAAAATCTTCAGTTGCAGCTGAATCCTGGAACCTTTTTAATTCAGGCACAGACAGTGACCCCTTCTGGACAGATAACTTGGCAAACATTTCAAGTACAAGGGGTCCAGAACTTGCAGAATTTGCAAATACAGAATACTGCTGCCCAACAAATAACTTTGACGCCTGTCCAGACACTCACGCTTGGTCAAGTTGCAGCAGGTGGAGCCTTGACTTCAACTCCAGTTAGTCTAAGCACTGGTCAGTTGCCAAATCTACAGACAGTTACAGTAAACTCTCTAGATTCTACTGGTATACAGCTACATCCAGGAGAGAATGCTGACAGTCCTGCAGGTGAGTCTTAAATGATGGCCTTCCATAAAAAGTGTAGTTATAATATATGGGGAAATTTTTATTAGCATATAGCTTTCATTAAAGATGACATATCCCTATGTTTATATGAAAGTAGACATCAAAGTGTCTTCCAAATTGTTCTTTGGAAGTTTTGAAGTTAAGGTTTCATTTTTCTGTTATGCCAATTACATTTGTAGTTTCCTTTGTTTTGACATCTGGTGTTGTCAAGCATTACAGAATTTAATTTTGCAGGTAGTGTGTCTTGTTTGGCCCTGGTGTGATTTGGTTTAAACATTGTGTGCATTATATTTGGTTGATCATATTAGCATGGAGTAGAGTACTTATGTAGCTGTCACAAACTAGCTATGTGATTTTGGATAGGTTTTTTTTTTTTTTTTTCTCTTGAAAACTTGGTTTTCTCATTGTGTGAAATGGGATATTAGTAACTTCATATCTAGGATACCTTCTAGATGTAACATGTGCTCCTTACCCCCACCCTTGCAGAATTGAACCTATGGGTACTTTACCATTTAGTTATATCCCCAGTTCTTTATTTTATTTTATTTTTTTAAATTGTGAGGCAGAATCTCTCTCACTTAAGTTGGTGAGGCTGACCTCAAACTTGTGATCCTCCTGTCTCCCAAATTGGTGGGATTACAGGCATGCCCTATCATGCCAAACTCCTTTTCCTTGTTAGAAATTTGGGACATATGCTTAGAATGTTGGAATTGCCCATGAATCTCAGATCTGTATATGGAAATTCTTCAATTGTGTTTATGCCTTCTGAGTCTGGGTTTAGAGCAGCAGTTCTTGAAGTGTGGTCTGTCCCCAAGACCCATTCAGAGGTTCTTTATGTGAAAGTACTTTTTTTTCCGGTACCAGGAACTGAACTCAGAAGCATTTAAACACTGAGCCACATCCCCAGCCCTTTTTTGTATTTTATTTAGAGACAGGATCTCACTGAATTGCTTAGTGCCTCACCATTACTGAGGCTGGATTTCAACTCAAAATCCTCCTGCCTCCCTAAGCCCCTGAGATTACAGGTGTGCACCATCACGCCCAGCTGAAACTACTTTTAATAATAATACTAAGAAGTTACTTGATTTCCCCCCCCCCTCCAGTGTTCACACTGTCACTGATGGTGGACCAAACTACTAGTATTTTCCTGACTCTGCACTTGCAGTTAAAGAAAAATTTGTTTCACTGAAGAATGACATACATGAGTCAATAAAAAGTTATTTTTGCTAAATGTCAACTCTTTAGAGCTGCATATCTTTTAAAAAACAGTAGATTTATTGGATTCTAACTCACATACTATAAAATTCACCTTTTATGCAATTGAGTAGTTTTTTAAACATAGTCACAGACTTGTGTAGCCATCATCACTATCTAATTTTAGAGCATTTTCATCACCCCAAAAAGAAACCCATACCTATTAGTAGTCATTTCTCATTCCATCCCATCTCCCAACTTCTAACAACCACTGTCTTTCTGTCTCTTTGGATTTGCATATTCGTTCATAATAGTGAATTATATAACGTGTGGCCTTTTGTGTCTGGCTTCTTTCATATAGTGTGTTTTCAAGGTTCATCTATGGTATAGCATGTCAGTACTTCATTTCTCTTTATGGCCCAATATTCCATTGTATGCCAAATTTTATTTTTCTATTGATGGAAATTTGGATTGTTTCCACTTTTGGGCTATTATGAATAATGGTGCCGTGAACATTTTGTGTATAGTTTTTTGTGTGGACATGGATTTTTCTTTTGAGGAATGGGTACTAGGTTCTATGGTAATTCAGTGTTTGAGGAATTGCTAAAAAGGTTTTTCCGAAAAGAATGCACCATCTTGTATTCCCACCAGCATTATATGAGAGTTTTAGTTTCTCTAATTCTGGTCAATGCTTATTATTGATCATCATCTTATAACCACCCTATTGGGTACGAAGTGATATCTCATTATGATTTTGGTTTGCAGTTCTTACTGATGTCTATAATATTCTTTGTGAGGAAAAGGGAAGTATGCTTTAATAAAGCATTTCTGCTGCCTACCAAAATAAGATAATTGACTTTGAAAAAAAAGCACTTTTTCCTGTTGTACAATCTTGTATGTTACAAGCTGAAATATTGTTTTTACTTGAAAGAACAACTGACAAGCTATGGTTTTGAGGACTTCAGATATTAAGTGACAGATAATTAAGCAAAAGTAAATGAAGTAAGCTTGTCATTTAAACCCTACAATATTTCTTGCTAGTGATAAAACATGGACTTTCCAGTTAAAATTAGAATTTTGGCTAAAATCTACTACTGTGAGTTTGTTAGCTTCTTTATATTTAACCTTTTTCTGAGGAGATGGGTGGTGCTATAAATAAATAGAATCTGTTTGATATTGTAATTATACCAACCCTTGGAAGATCTATATGAAAAAACTCAGTGAATCAGTAGCTTTTATTTTTCATTTTCATATGTATTACACATAGGTATTGGGGATTGAACCCAGGGGCCCATTACTATTGAGTATAGGATCTCACTGCTGCTAAGCTCTTGCCTCAGCTTCACTATGTGCTTATAGGTATGTACCATCCTGCCTGGCTGTCCATAGTTTTTAGGTGATGAACTTATTATCATGGGTATTATTGAATTATTATACATGGGTAAAAGCCATTTAAAATACAAGATAGATACCGAGTGTGAAAAATTTACCAATTCGGTGTAAGATTCCATATTTCAACTGAGTTAAGAAACTGCCACTTGTCAAGTTTGGTGGTATCAAAGAAAACCCAGTTTTTTGAAAGGCTATTAAATTATTCTTCCCTTTTCCAGCTGCATATTTTTGTGAGAGTATATATCTTCAAATGCTTCAACCTAAACCACATATTGCAAGAGATTGAATGTGAAAGTGGATCTGAGACGTTTTTGACTTCTTTTAATCTGGATACTACAGAGATTTGCAAAAATGTAAAACATGGTTTCTTTTATGAAAAGTGTTTTGGCAGCTTTTTCATAAAATATTAATTCATTTTTATTTATTTATTTATTTATGGTGCTAGGGATTGAACCCAGGGCCCTGTGCATGTGAGGCAAACACTCTACCAACTGAGCTATATCCCCAGCCCAAAGTGTTAATTTATATTAACATGTTAATGGATTTATTTATTTGATGGTGTCAAGCAAATCCAGGGTCTCATGCATGCTAGCCAAGTTCTCTACTGTATTTACTTTAAATGAATTTTAACAATTTAAAACTTCTTATTTTTAATATAGTAAATATGTCTAATATGATAAATATATATATATATATATATATATATATACATGCACACACATATATACATATATATGTGAATATGGATGTGAGTATACGTGTGTGTATCCTACACGAATAAAAGGTTTTTGGGGAACCTCAGAGTTTGAAATAGAGAGTCCTGGGTTGGGGGGTGTAACTCATTGGAGGAGTGTGTGCTTAGCATGTGTGAGACCTTGAGTTCAATCCCTAGGTCTTGAGACTAAAATGTTTGAGAATTACTGGTAAGATGACAGACTTGCAAGACAATTTGAATCATTTGAATATTCTTTCTTAAAAATATTTGAAAATAGTTTTTAACGATTACTTAAATTAATGTTATAGAGTGTTATTACATGTTAGAAACATCTCCAGAATTTGTTATTTTTGTGGATTTATGTTGATGTTGAATTTATGAGTCTCTTAAGTATTAGTAAGATGATTTCAGGTGTTATCAAATAGGAACACTGAATTAAATACAAAATGGAGGGTTTGGGGTTATGGCTCATTGATAGAGCGCTTGTCTAGCATGTGTGAGGCACTGGGTTTGATTCTCAGCACCACATAAAAATAATAAAGGTTCATCCACAATATACTAACATATATATGTGTGTGCATATGTATATATGTGTATGTGTATACATACATATATACATAAAATTTAAAAATACAGTTTATTTCAATATTTATTTTTTTAGTTTTCTGCGGACACAACATCTTTATTTGTGTGGTGCTGAGGATCGAACCCAGCTCTGTGTGGATGTCAGGCGAGCGTGCTACCGCTTGAGCCACATCCCTAGCCCTTAAAAATACAATTTTAAAAAATAAACATAAAGGGGCTGGGAATGTGGCTCAAGCGGTAGCGCGCTCGCCTGGCATGCGTGCGGCCCGGGTTCGATCCCCAGCACCACATACCAACAAAGATGTTGTGTCCGCCGAGAACTAAGAAATAAAAAATGTTGGAAATTCTCTCTCTCTCTCCCTCCTCTCCTCTCACTCTCTCTTTAAAAAAAAAAAAAAAAAAAAAAAAAAAAATAAACATAAAATTTAAAAAAAATATAGTTTACTGAATGGTAGTCTGAAAGGGTAAAATAAAGTACTCCAGAAGGACATTATGTTTGTTCCAATTTTAAAGAATGGGGAGCTGGAAATGGTGGTGCATGCCTGCAGCTACTTAGAAGCTGAAGAAGGAGGATTGCAAGTCCACGTGGACCTTAGTGGGACTTTGTCTCAAAAAAAGTAATAAGGACTGGGGATGTAACTCAGTGGTAGAGTACCCCTGTCCTGGGGGAAAGTTTTGTTGTTGAGAAAGTAAAGTTAAAGCAAATGAGAATTTAAAATGCTGGATAGTACAGTGGTAGAGCTTATAGGAGTTCTTACAAGTTCCCAAAAAATGAGGGATTCAGAGATAAATTATTATTTTTTCCAGCATAAGACATTTTTATCTGTGCTAGGAATAGTATACCCAGATGAAAATGCTTAATACTTTGACATATTTGGTTTGCATTTTTGATAAGTATGAAATTAATGTAGCAGGATAAGGTATCTTCTTCCTCCTAAAATCAGGGCTTTGGCATTTGTCTCTTTAAAGTTCCCATTTAATAAAAATGACCTCTATTCCAGCCTTTTTAAAGTTTTGGGCTCCTCCTCTTGTGAGATAATTTTACTATCCCTTGTCCCTTAAGAGCAGGCCCCTGAGGCAGAGTAAGCACAAGGCA